CAAAATGTTTGCTTTTGTTCATAAAAAGTCATTTTTCTTGAAAACGGTTGACTTTAGAGCAATGAACCAAGAGAACTCTTATTGTGTAAAATTCATTGGCGCTTTAGAATTTGCTGTCAAAAGTCAATTTTTCCAGTGGCGTCAAATTTAGGGGGGGGGAAAACCCTTACGATACCTTAAAATCTCCACCACTGGCACGTCCAATGAATTCGAGAAGGGTGCGAAAAAGTAGCTATTGATAGTGGTAATGTGTGTACAAAAGCTCAGTCCTGTAGTTCAAACGATTCCTAAGATATTAGCGAAAAACTAAAAAAAAAATAAAGTTTTGACACCGTGTAACTCGAAAACGAAAGCCCGTAGAGAAAAATGGAAGAGGAAAAAAATGTTTCTTTTTTCAAGAGGAATTTACAGTTTTCCGTTGCGACACTTATTTAGGAACACCCTGTATATGTGTATATACAGGGTGATTCAAATTTAATCTGGATAACTTCAGGAATCGATAGAACAGATTAAAATAATGTTCATTCATGATATAAACTTATTTCTTAAATCTCATCGTTTAGGAGATATGGGGCGTTGATTTTTTTCCAGTTTTTCCCTCATAATTTTTTAACAACTCATCCAATTGAGGTGAAATTCGGAACACAAACACTCCTTATGATCTTTCATAAGCTTCTTAAGTTTGAACCACATATCCCACTTAGAAGTGTATTTTGTATGCTACCCCTCTGCCCTCCTACATTATTTCAAAACTTCATAAAATGAATTAATTTCAATAAAACAGCTGCTTTTGTCTCATTAATTTTGAAACTTTTTTGTCTCTTGTTTTTTTTTCGATATTTGGCCTTATTTCTGAGATATTCAATAAATTTCATTTGACGTTATAGCAACCCATGAAAAACAAAACTCACAATGATTTGTATAAACCGACGTTTGTAAATACCATCGTTAAAAGTATTTTTAGTGCTAAGAAAAGAGAAAAAAATCATGAATGAACATTATTTTAAGCTGTTCTATCGATTCCTGAAGTTACCCAGATTAAACCTGAATCACCCTGAATACGGAGTTTCAAAGTTTCTGTTTTGCCCCAGAAATTATAGTTTTTGGTATTCTCGTAACACAAGCAAAACAATATTTGTAATAATAACCGTCATGTCGTTATTTACTTTGTTTCTTTTTATACTCGTGCAGCGAAGAGGTTTCCACTTGAGGTAACCTTGACATCCAATTTTAAAAAAAGCGCCCGGAGGTAGTAAACGCTATCAACAAAGGTCTAATTAAAACACCATTAGGTTCTGTCTTAACGACCACAAAAACACACCATAGCATGGTTTTTAAAGTTCGTTAAACGCTGTTTATGTCTTTAGACAATAAATTTTCTCGAGTTCTCGTTTGACGTGCTTTGTCCTTTTCAACAAACTATTGCGCAACCATTAATATTGTAAAGATGATCCATGCACGGACTAATGAAGCTACCTACCACTGCAATGAAGCGTGTGCATTTTTTACATGAATGCATTAGACTTAAGGTGGCCATATCCCTGGCCGAGAAATGGTGAAGTTTCTGGCATTTTTAGGTACTGAAATCTTGAAAAGTAAAACGTGTACAACAAAAGTAAGCACAAAAATAAAATCCTTGATGTTTTGTTTATTCATTGTTACCATTTAAATTTACCCAAATAAAATAATAACTAAAAAAAAGCGTTTGTAAAACATGCGTTTTCTGTTNAAAGATGATCCATGCACGGACTAGTGAAGCTACCTACCACTGCAATGAAGCGTGTGCATTTTTTACATGAATGCATTAGACTTAAAAAGGAAAGCATACGTCAGTTCGCTCTCCTTAATAAAAGGTGGACCTTTAAAGATGGCCCTGGAAGATTCCAGTACTAATAGTGTGAAAAATACCAAAATTGATGACGCAAGGTACATTTATTATCACATGGAGCATGATAAAAAATTTATAACGCTTTCTGACTAAACATATATTGCACTTCATGCTGGTTGTACTACCGGATTTACCAGGGCTGGTGTTTTCTTCAAAAGCAAAAGGATAATCAATCAATCAAGACAATTTCCTACATTGGTTTGAATATGAGTTATTGGTGAATTTAAAAAAAGCTTCTTAAATTGTCATGGGTAGAGAGAATTAGCAGTTATCACAGCACTATTCTGAATAAAGCTCCAACGACAGCTTCCAAGAAAGCTGACATTCAAGAATGGTAAGTCAAAATAATGTTCATTACTAAAATATAGTCTTGAAAACACGGCAATGTGGAAAGAGAAAGAAGCTATTGGAAAAGCAACAATTCGACATGCTGAAGAAGACATTCAGCACAGGTGGAATAGAGAAATTCAATTCGATCGAGAGAATACTCTTCATCTAGTTATAAATTTGGAAACAAATAATGTCGACGGTGGCGAGGATAAAGTTGTTGTTGATGATGATGATGTTATTCCCATTATTCACCGAATGTAAACAAATAAATGTTAAGAATATACCTATGTTGTTTTGTATATCCTAACCCTACTAATGTTTTCTTACGTTTAAATAAAAATCTTTGAAGAACTTTAGAAAATGTTAATTGCAATAATCATCAAAGTCAAAATTAATTTTTTGGCTGTTCCCTAAATTATTTAAATGGACCTTATTTGTGATTTTAGGTTAACGAACTGGAATCGCTATCAAAAATTAATTTTCCTTTAATGTAAACGAAAAAATTGACAATCTGGCAACACCGTACCGTTTCGGATGTGACCATGTGACGTCATTGCAAGCATTCGTAATAAGACTATATCTTCTTAACAAATTCTACGAGAAGTTAAAAAATGCAATTTACGTTTGAAAACAATTTTTTTAAATTGAAGAAATTGATTTGGTCGCGCTCCCAAAAAAACATTCTTGAATACAAAACGTTATTTCGCAACCTACAAAAAAAAATAACGTTAGTAATTTTTTTCAAACTTAAATTACATCATACACCTTTTTGTTTCAGATCGTGGTCATGGGCTGTATGCTCGTTCGCCCTCCTGGCAGTGGCGTACTCCAGGGGCGACCCCTATGAGTACAACGTCACCTCCTACACCCGCAACCTACCCGACGAGATCCGACCGATCGTGAGTCGAGCCCTGAGGGTGGAGAGGGCGGCGACGCACCCCAATTTCAGCAGCTCGGACTGTCACCCCGACGACCAGATCTCGTGCCCGCCCATGAAATACCGAAGGCCCTCGGGCGAGTGCAACAACGTGCGCCACCCCAAGTGGGGCAACAGGGGGTCGGCGTTCCTCAGGCTGCTGCCGCCTAGCTACGCGGACGGTGAGTAATGTCATTGTGATCTAGAATGCCGAGACATCAACGTTTCGCTCGTGACGACTTTTCAGAAGCGTGGAGTGGGAAATTAAGCCTTTCGCCATGTTTTTCTTAAGTAAGAGAATTTTAACATCAGATGCCAGCAGTAAGGTAGAATGTTTTAAAAATTTTGAAATAGCAAATTTAATATTTTTAGAAAACATGTTAATAATGCAGGAAAACAACCATTTATCTGCTCCCACTTAAGTAAATAAACTACTAATACATTGTTTTTAAGGAGGTAAGTGGATTTTACCGTAGAAGTGGAAGTTGCTATGGACAACGGGAGGTAACTTACCTCCGTAAGGGAAAAAGCGATTTCGAGTTATAAATGCATATTTTATTAACAAATAAATAGAAATATATAAAATCTGGATAATTATTCTCCTCGCGTTTACGATGTTCTTCGGAATGAATGGCCTGAATATGTTTCAAGATGTTCTAGTTCCAAAAACTGTGACTGTGCAATCTTATTAGGAATCACAGAAAGGGTATTCTTACCGACTGGTTGGTTCTAACATCTACCTGCTTTATGGCGCATAAAAAAGAGTGAAATTTCAATTCCAACCTAATCTTGATATATTTCTTGAGTATTTCTAGGTGAGAAACAAAACCAAGACGAGAAGTAACTTAGTACAGTCATTGAAGCTTTCCAAATCCGAATAATTTCAAACTGAACCAATCGACTTGAAATTTGGCAGATAGTTAGAGAAAAGGTCAGTGAACATTAGTGACATAGCGCCGATTGACGTTTCCACCCTGTTGGGGGATGACACCCCTTTCTGGGGTGGAATTTTTTTTTCAAAAATAACGCTGGAAATCGATAGAGATTCAACTTTTGAGCAAAAAATATTCAAGATTTATTTCGAGAAATCAATAATTTTTTAGTTATTCACGATTGAAAACTTTTGAGTGAAAAACACACTTTTTCAAAGTATTTTTCGCGAATAACTCAAAAACTACGCATTTTATTAAAAAAAAGTGTAATGAACAAAAACGTAGCTTATAAATAAACAAAGAAAATCGTTTTTTAAAAAGTGTTGTACGTCCTATAGAAAGCGAAATATGATTAGTGGAAGGGGACTTGTTTTGGGGGGAATACTCGAATCGATGTATTCAACGTCAAATAACGGAAAAAGGATTAATTTTACGTGTATAACGCTTCTGGAGTTTTTTGAGTACTCAAAAAGACCTTCAAAATGAGTACTTATAAAAGTTTATTAGAGCAAAATTGAAGGAGTTATCGTCAAAAACAGATGGGTAGCTCATATTTTTTGAGGAAAAATGAGCAGTAAACGCTGTACCATTCCCATCAGAATTAAAATTAATCGTAGACCCTTTACAATTAGTTTTGTTTTAGTGTTTTTCATGCGATCCTGAAGTTAGACCGATTTAGAAAGCGTATTTTTTAAATAATGTACGGTAAAAGTTGGAAGCGTATTTTTCATTATTTAAAAAAAATTGCCTTATTTATATAATAACTGAAACTATGAAAGATACGTAAAAAATGATAGACAACAAAAATGTAGCTTTTTTTCAACAAATATTTTGCTTTTTTCTTATTCCTATAGCATAAAAAATAAAGGAGATATCGCCGCTTGAAGTATCCATTTTAGTGAAAAAACGACATGTCTCGAGCCTTTCGATCCTTTCCTTTTAAAAAACGAAGGACTTAAAAGGTTTTATATGCAAATGAAGCAAAATAGGCTTTCTCATTTTTATATATTATAACGAGCGTTCAAATAAAAACGTGGTCGAAGTTGGCTCTGACACATTGGACGTAGGGAGTAGCTTATAGCGACCAACTTAACCTCATTTCTCAACGAGCTGTATAGCAGCTGTCAGTTTCAATAACGTTAATGACTATATAACTTTATTTTAAAGAATAATCGTGATAACAATAACAAACAATTAAAGGAGCTGCGGAAAGTGTCCCCCTCCTTGTTATAACAATAAATTAAAGCAGCTGCTGAAAGTGTCCCCCTCCTTGTTCCAAGCACTTTTCACACCTGTTCCTCAAAGAATTAAAGACATTTTCTAAGATGCTCGGGGTATTGTTAATTTCACGAATCTTGTCTATAAGTCGAGCCTGCAGATGGTTTAAATCAGGAATAGGCAGTTCAAAAATAGTGTTTTTAAGGTAAGGCCACAAAAAGAAATCA